GAACAGTTCAAAAGCGATATATGGTAGGGTATTAAGGTTATCTATCACAAGAGTCCAGAATTAAGGTTGCATAGTGGCGTGTACTCGGGGTGGGGATGGGGAGTCTGGGGGAATTGTATACCAATGAAAGAATTTTTCTTTTACTTTTCAAAGAGAGGAGTGAACTGTGGGGGAGGGGTTAGCAGGGAGAAAAGTGCAACAATGATGAATGTAAATCCAAAATCTCTGTAAACATTCATTAAAATTAATAAAATAAAATTTTTAAAAAGGAAAAAATAAAAATATTCAAAATTAGGCCAAGAAAAGACAACAACAACAAAATGTCAAATAAAGAATGAAATTGTTGATGGTTTCATTTTACTTGGATCCACAATCAACGTCCAGGGAAATAGTAGTCAAGAAATCCAAAAGTTTTGGAAAAAAAAAATCTATGATCAAATATCTGTCAATTACTGAAGACCAGCGATTTCAGTTTAAAGACTAAGGTGGGCCTGAAATAAACTTGAGTGTTTTCTATTACTTCAGATGTTAAATGAAAGGTGAACAGTGTATAAAGATGGCCAAGAAAAATTAATGCCTTTAAAGTCTTAAGTATTGACAAAAAAGTATGATGAACATAACATGATCTCCCAAAAGAACAAACTGATCTGTCTTGGAAAAATGCAGTCATTTCTAATGGTACTTTTTGAAGAAAAGGAAGCTGAGACTTCCTACATTCTGCAGAGGGTGAAACCAGGTTGCTCCTTAGAGGCAAGGATGGTGAAACGCTGCCTCATGTAACATTGAGCATTTTGCCAGGAAACAAAATCACGCTTGGAAGGATGGAGAGATAGCACAGGAGAGGAAGACCCTGAATGAGATGAATTGACACAGTGACTTTGGCAATGGGTACAGGTGTGTGAGGGACAGTGAGATTGTCTCAAGATGTTGCAGGGTTCAGAGCTACTGTTCATGGAGTTGCTATGAGTCACAATTGACGTCTCATAACAACAACAACAAATTTGAGCGTGATACCATGGGGTCAGTGCTTGGGAAAGAACATCATCCTTGGAAAAGTAGGAGGTTAGTGATGGAAATGAAGATGCACACAGTGGCCACAGCTGTGGCCTTAAACACAGAGGAGATTGTAAGAGTGGTTGAAATGGGGCACAGTTTTGTTATGTTATTCCCTTGTTTGTGCTCCGTTATAATCATGCCTAAAGCTGTCAACATTCCAATACCAAATAGTAGCTCTTCTCTGCATTTCCTTTCAGTTTGGTCTTATCTAGTCTTCTTTGTCTCAGTATTTTTTTTTTGTCTCTCACAGTAAGCATGTACTTTGACTCAACCAAAGCCTTCTAAAATGCAAACACATTGTAAATTTTGGGAAAAAATATAACAAAACATTACTTTGCCATAACACTTATGATAATATGAGAACAGTTCTTAACAATAGAAATAAACATATATCTTTGTTGTAGTTGTTGTTTTTGTTATGTGCCTTCAAGACACTTGTGACTCATAGTGACCTTTTGTACAGTAGTCCTGTGCCAACTTTACTATCTGACACACCTACCTCATTACCCTAGTCACTGAATCAATCCATCTCATTGAGGGTCTTCCCCTCTTTCTCTGTCTCTCCACCCTTCCAAACTGATGTCCTTCTCCAAGACTGGTCTCTCCTTGCAATAGGTCCAGAGTATGTCAGACAAAGCTTCAGAGTCCTTCCCTCCAAGGAGCAGCTTGGTTTAACTCGCTCTATGATGTCTTTGGAGAGGGACATCATGCTTGGGAGGGTGGAGGGACGGCGCAGAAGGGGAAGACCCTCTATGAGGTGGATTGATTCAGTGACTGGGGTAATTGAGATGGGAGTGTCAGAGACAGTGCAATTGGCACAGGATAGAGCAGGGTTTAGGGCTCTTGTACACAGGGTCACTATGAGTCGCAAGCGACCTGACGGCACATAACAACAACAACAATGATGAACCTGTTTATTCTCCCAGCAGTCCAGTCAGAACTCTTCACCAGCACCACAGCTCAAAAGCATCAGTTCTCTTTCTATCATCCCTAGTCATTGTCCAGCTCTCTGACACATAGCATGTAATTGCGAAAACTATGGCTCAAGCATCGAAGACTCTTCTTTATAGGGTCTCTGTGAGTCACCTGTGACTCTACGGCACTGAACAACAACAACAACATGGCCTCTATCAGGTGCACCTTAGTCTCCAAACTAATGTTAATACTGTTCAGTACTCTGGAGAAGGTCCCTGACAGCTGACTTTCCCAGTGCAATTCATCTTTTGATTTCCTGGCTGCTGGTACCAAGAGTATTGTTTGCGGAACCAGGCAAACTAAAGCTGTTAACAATCGCAAATCTCATCACCATCTATCATAATTATGCCAGCTGGCCAAGTGATGAGAATATTTTCTGGATATTGAGCTTCAATCATAGTTCTTGACCTTCTTCTGCTGCAAGCGCTTCAAGTCCTTCTCAGTTCGAGCAAGCAAAGTTGTGTCATCTTCATAACACAGGTTGTTGATGAGTGTTCCTCCAATCCTGATGCCACATTCCCCCTCATACAGTCCATCCTCCCAGTTGATCTGTTCTGCATATAGATTGAAAAGATATGGATATAGGATACATCACTGCCATACACCCTTCCCGACTGGAACCATGCAGTGTCTCCTTGCTCTGTTCTGACATGTGTGTAGGGATACCTATACTTTTTTATATTTTATACATTATTTGTCATCAGTATTTTTACTAACCAACCAAGTAAAGGTCATGCAAAAGGTCAGGAGACTCAAACCAATTCCGTTTATAAAAAATATTTGTATTAACAGAATACAGTGATTATACCAGGGAAATAGATTAAAACAAAAGGCAAGTGGCTCGACTTTAGCAAAAATGTGTCACTAGTATACAAAGAACATCTAATTATACCTCAAAATGGAAAACTCTGCCATTATTCTGATTGGTGAAGCTATTCAGGCCTGTCTGGAAAATAATGAAGGTTATCAGCCCATTATCTGGTGCTGAAAACTTAGCAGCTTCAATACTTCCACTGCTGATTAAAACTATAGCATGTAGTTAATTAGAAATCTTAATTGTAATGTTTTACATCAGTTGAGCAAAGTTAGATATAATATAACCTGTTGTTCTTGTTGGTTTTGATTGCCATCAAGTTGAGCACGACTCAACTACCCTATGAACAAAAAGCCTGAAGCCTTTCTATAACTATCGTCATTTATCAAAGTTCATTGAATTTCCAGAAACGTGCTGTTTAAGAAGTAGGTGCCACTCCTGCACCCAATATAACTTTATAATCATAGAAATAAAATGTAACCCTCATTGTCATCAAGTCAGAACTGAGTTATTGCTGACCTGTCAGTGGGCTTTCAAGGACTGCAAATATATAAAATGTCTTTAAAATTATAACTTGTTATTTCTCACTGGGAAAACTGCCATATTTTCCCCATTGAACTGTTGGTGGATTTGAACCACCAGAGAGGTACTGCCTTTGCGTCAGCAGTGTGACTCCCTATGGACTATGCCACCAGAGCTCCCGCATAAAAGGCTGGGGCAAAAGTGACAATAAGCATGTAATTTGTAAACTTGTTTTCTTTTCCTTTTTCTCCCCTTGGTTGACAACTAAATGGTGTATACTTATATTAAACGTGATAGTGATGGCTGAATTGTCTCAAACTTGTTCCCTGTGTTCACAGTTCTAGGAAGACATGCTAATTGTCATATATTTATGTCATACGTATTTTCCAAGTGAAACTAGTGAATTTGATTTACTTACTTAAATACTTAATTTACTTATTTAAATATCAAATGCTGATGCTTTTAAAAATAACAAATTCAGGACAACTATTTTGTTCTAGTTTTCTGTTTTTGTTCTTGTTGGCTAATTTAAGTTATCTGAACTTCTCAAGGTTTTAAAATTCTTACAGGTCAAGGTCTTACACATCTATCTTTTCCTCCATACCTCATTGTTGTGGAGTCACAACTGACTCACAGCTGACCGTTCATTGGATTTTCAATGCTGTTAATTGCATTACAGGTGATTGCACATTTTTATTTCATGGAGCTCCTGGTGGATTTGAACCCACAGATCAACATGGACTTTGCTTTAGCAGCATAACTCCTTATAGACTATCCACCATCTTCCTTCTAACACTTGAATAACATTTTTCTCTTTTTAGTTGCTTTACTAATACTTGGTTTTCTAAAGTAATAAATAAGTATGAGTTTAAGAAAGAAAATATTTTTCAGAGGAAAACCAAATATATTATAAAAAGTATAAAAATGTTTAAAAGAAGATATGATACAGACCATGGTTTTGCAGTCACTTGTTATGCATCAGAGAGTTGGACAATGACTAGGGAGGATAGAAGGAGAATTGACGCCTTTGAGCTGTGGTGCTGGAGAAGAGTATTGAATGTACCATGGACTGCCAAGAAAACAAACAGATTCATCGTAGAGAAGATTAAACCAGGCTGCTCCTTGGAGGCATGGATTCTGGGGCTTCGTCTGACACACTTTGTACATGTTGTAAGGAGAGACGGGTCTTTAGAGAGGGACATCATGCTGGGCAGAATGGAGGGACAGCGCAGGAGGGGAAGACCCTCTATGAGGTGGATTGATTCAGTGACTGGGGTAATTGGGATGGGTGTGTCAGAGGCAATGAGATTGGCACAGGATAGAGCACGGTTTAGGGCTTTTGTACATAGGGTCGCTATGAGTCGCAAACGACTCAACGACACATAACAACAACATACTTAAAACTCAGTTTCTTGGTTAAGAAAAAAAAAAACCTTACTGGCTCCTCAGTTCCTGGATTTAACTGTGTCACTTAATTTCACCAGACTCAAGTTTTCTTATCTGTAAAATGGAATTGATAATCCTGGGTATGTAATATACATAAAAGGTAACACCATGACAGTGGTGCTTATGATGTCAATAATGCTTTATGGAAACTGCATCCTCAAATTGGTTCTTGTGTGTGTCTTTCCAGGTGAAGCATACATGCGATTGAGCAAACTCCCAGAAGCAGAGCATTGGTATATGGAATCACTGAGATCTAAAACCGACCACATCCCTGCTCATTTGACCTATGGAAAACTACTAGCTCTAACAGTACGTAAATGCTTTCCTTACTCTTCTGAAATGGATTCTTACTGTGTAAACCAAAGTAGATGGAGATTGAGACAGTTGTAGTTCAAGAGGTTAGACCAAGAACACAAAAAAGATTTAAAAGTAAGAGTTTTATCTGTGAATTGTACCCTAGGTCAAAAGTGTGAAAGCAATTAAGATCTTTTATGTTGTTGTTGCTTTTAAGTTCTGTTGAGTCAAAATGGATCATGTACACACACACACACACACACACACACCCCCCACACACACACACCACCCCACCCCACACCCCACCCAGTGAGTTTTCAGGGGCAGTAAATCACATGAGAATAGATTTCCCATCTCATGGAGCAGCTGGTAGATTTCAACCATATGTCTTTGAGGTGGCAACACATTATCTTACCAGTAAGTAAGCCACAAACGTACCCTATCCTTTATGAAACACAATGAAAACTTTTAAATGGAGAGCTGACTTTTGATAACCATATTTACATAAATGTGGTATACTACAAGTCAGTGTTAACCAGGTTGACTCTAATGTATAACTATGCTTGATTTTTTTCCAGATACCTAACATTGTATACTTGGGTTAATCAGAACCACCTGGAATTGATTCTAATTGAAACCATTCCAAATGAGAACTAAAGCCAAGGCTTGCCACCCACTTTGCACCATAAGGAGTTGCTGATCTTTTGCCATCTTTCACCTATAAAAATGTTAATTTCACTTAGGGATTTTTTTTAAAAATTAAATTTTTTTATGTCACACAGTTATTAACTTGGAGAATTGGGTTTCAAATCCAGTTTGAACATAATATATTTTGTTATACTGCTTATGCTTTCCAATACTGATAAACATATATGGACATAGCAAAACCTAGTGTTCTTAGAAGCACAGATGGTGAAATGTCATCTCATATACTTTGGACATGTTGTCATTAGGGGGCCAGTTCTGGAACAGACATCATGCTGGGAAAGGTGTTCAGTCTACACAGATGATTATCAAGGAGATGGATTGACACATAGATTGTGACATTGAGCTTGAACATGACAGAGATCATGAGAATGAGGCAGGTTACATCAAGGTTCAGATCTGTTGTCCATCAGATTACTGTGAGTCATAGTCACCTGGAGAGCAAGCATCAACAACAGCAATGGCAAAGAAAGTGACTGCTTAGTAAATTCATAAAATAGCACCTTAGAATCACTTGAAAGTGTGAATTTGGTTTTTCCCACCAAATTTGATAAATACTTATAATTACCAGGGAACTGTGGTAGAGTTGTTGGTGGAAAATTACACTGCCAAACCAAGGGTATAGCCTTTCTGTTGGTTCAAACCCACCAGTGTCTACTTAGGAAGAAAAAGGGAAATATCTGCCTGTGCCGTTATAGTTTCAGAACCTTCATAGTTTCAGAAACCCACTTGAGAGTCAGCTATGGGTCGATTCCAGCTCATCAGTACTGATTTTATCTTTTCATAGTTGTTGTTGTTGCTGTGATGCTGTACCATAGAGTCAGAACCTAACCGTAGCCAACCCTCTGGTAGGTTTTCAGAGGCAGTTAATTGTACGAAGGAGATTGTCCATCTTTCTCAAACTGAGCAACTGCCAGTGGCCTCAAACCACGTACCTTTGGGATTGCAGCACAGCTTCTTGCCACTAGGCCACCAGAGATCCATTTTCCATAATTACTATGTATGTTATATTGCCTGTTGGTACCAAGAGCATTGATTGTGGAGCCAAGCAAACTAAAGCTTTTAATAGTCTCATTCTTTTCACCATTTGTCATGATGCTGCCAGTTGGCCCAGGGATGAGAATTTGTTTTCCTGTTGTTGAACATCTATATTTAAGGCTGCTGTCTTTGACTTTCTGCAGCAAGTGCTTCAGATCCTCCTCAGTTTCAGCAAGCAAGGTTGTGTCATCTGCCTAATGCAGGTTGTTAATGAGTCTTCCTCCAATCCTGATGCCACATTCCTCTTTATAGAGCCCAGCCTCCTGGATGATCCATTCTGCATATAGATTGAAAAGGTATAGAGATAGGACACATGCCAGGCAAACACCTGTCCCGATTTTTGAACCATTTAGTGTTTCCTTTCCCTGTTTTGATGACTGCCTCCTGGTCCAAGTATAGGTTTCACATAATCAAGTCTTCTGGATTTCTTGTTCTTTTCAGAGTCAGCCACAGTTTGTTGTGGTCCACACAGTCAAATGCCTTTGCATAGTCAATGAAACATAGACATTGCTCTGGTACTCTCTGCTTTTAGCTAAGATCCATCTAACATGAGCTAAAGTAGTCCTAGTACCACAACCTCTTCTAAACCCAGCCTAGACATCTGGAAATTATCTGCTTATGTGCTGCTCCAGCTGTTTTTGTATAGTATTCAGCAGACTCTTGCTTGCATGTGATATCAATGATATTGTTCAATAATTTCCACACTCTGTTAGGTCACCTTTCTTTGGAATGGGAACAACTGTGAATCTCTTCCAGTCAGTTGGCCAGGTGGTTGTCTTCCAGATATCTTGGCGAAATCACAACTTGGTGATGAAATACTAATTTCATCGGGAAAATCTGCACAAACAACTCAGTAACAACAATGTATGTAATCTAAGATTCCACTAAAATGCAATTAAGTAAATTCCATATCCTAAGTAACCTGAAAACATCCAACTAAAACATTTCTAGATATGCATAATGAAAAATGACAGATGTGCTTGAAATGTTTTGATAAACTGAAAAGATTGTGATAGCAATTCCAGCGAGCTAGAAATAATAGGAAGCTAAATACCGGAACAGAAAAACAGTAAGCTGATTTTGTAGTTAACCTGGGACCATTCACCAGTGGTAGAAACCAGTATAAAGATGCTTCTCTTTAACCCTCTAGATTTGTGGAAAAGGCTCTGGTGGCCTAATGGGTTGGGAGTTGTACTGCAAATCCAAAGATGAGCAGTGTCAATCCATCAGATGCTCTGCAAGAGAACGATTTCACATCTCCTCCTCTGTGATTTATAGCCTCTGAAAACTCACTGCATAGTTGCATATGAGTTGCTTCCTCTTCCATGGCAGGGAATTGAGTTGAGTTTTGAGACTACTGTGGAATAGAGTAAAAGGTTTAAGGCAATAATAGGCTATTTGTTAGATGTCTAAATAAAACAGGAAACTTCAAACCTTCACTGAAAGGATATTATACAAAAAGCATGCTAGAACAAGAAGGCAGCTTGAAGGTTTAGCTGTCCCATTAAGGTGTCTAGATTAGAAAAAAAAATTCTCCACTAAAACTCTGTCACCTCTGTAATACCCTTACTGAACATTTTTTTTTGGTTTTGAATTTATTTTACTTATATAGTTGGAAAATGTCTAAGCTAGAAAATAAAAAAATTTCAGCTTGAAATCACTAAAGATGTTCTTCAAGGGAACACAGATCAGGAAGTTACTGAGTAAAGTGCAAGAGGAAAAGTGAGCAAAGAAATGGGAAGATGTATGAATAAATGAGAATACACTTTTACTGTATAAAATATGCATAAGATATATTTTATTCATAAGAGCAAACAGTGGAATGGATGACATCATCGGATGAGCTGTTTAAATTGATTTGGGGAATTCAGAAAGCAGACGGAGGTGTGATGGCTGATTTATCCGAACAGAGGCCACTGCAAACTCTAGGACCCTTGGATTGGGATAATAGTTAAAGTCAATCTGACTTGCTCCATAGCAGCATGGACTTGGAAGTAGCTGTTGCATATAAGAGTGAAGGACATTAAAACAGTTAAATTCCTATATATGCAACAATCATATCTCTCCCCCCTGTACAGTGCCAGCAAACAGGCATTTATTTAAAGTTAAGAGTAAAGAGGCTCATATTGGTGAAACAATTGAATGAGTTGTCCCAGGATCAGGACCTCTTAAGTGCACACAGCTAGAAGCAGAAACAGAGAATAGATTGACCATCTTCCAGGAAAGCACTCACATCCTCAATACCCTTTTCTTGTCCTGTGTAGGCTAACAGGAATATAGAGTAAACTCCACCTCCTCAGGAGATTACTATATTCTTAACTGGATAAACTGAACCACCTAAAGTAAATGCATCCATTTAGTCAGAAGTCCCCCCATAATCCTATCACCAGACACACACACACAAAAAGACCCCAGCTTCTATTGAAGCCCACCTGTGACATAGGAACTTCCATTTAGCTTTTGTTATTGTTGTCTTAAATATCAACAGATAATTGAAAAGTGTCAGTCATATTGAAAAGTTACAAATGTAGAAGATTAGAACTAAAGTAATATAAGAAGGAAATCTAATGGAACACAAGAAGACTTAAATAATAATCCTTAAAAGGAGATGTGGATATGTGGCTTTTTACAAAAGAGTATGAAGGAACAATTAATGAGAGAATGAGGAAGAGCTTTTAGAAATTAAAAATTTAATAGCTGAAAACAGTTATTTGAAGCATAGGAGAACAAAGATGAATAAATATTCCCATAAGCCATCAAAGAAATTAACCAATAGAAAAATCAGGATGATGAAATTCTGGAAGTAATCAATTGAGAAAGACCCAGCGGAGGGGAGGGGGGAAAAAATCAAAGCCACACAAAACCCAGACAAAACAGGAGAAATTTGCTTATAATAGAAGTTGCTATTTATGCAACTAAAAGCATTGTATTGTTTAATCATTTGGGGGTAAAAATGTTATGTCTTATGAAACCCTTTCCAATTCTGCTGATACAATGATAATTCGAAAAGCTCCACTTGTGAAGTGAATTCACACACCTCTTGCCCCTGTGATTCTTTTTGGCATGCTTTTACATACTTCAAATGGAAATATTCTTCATTCAATTCATAATAGACCTTCTTAAAACAATCTATGAAAGTTTTAAATGTTAACTTAAAAAAATCATTTTGAAAAGGAATAAGTGAAAACTTACATATACATAACTGAATATGGCTAGACTGTGATATAGACTCTGGATATAGAAACCATGTGTTCTTTCTCCTTTTCCCTTTT